CTCGCAGGCCAAAACAATGTATTAATACAAAAGTATCCATGAGCATAGTTTATTTTTTGAAATAGTAGAGGGAGCACAAACCACGTCTTCCTCTGGATTCTCTTCACCCGTGCAAAGGTGTAGATGACAAGCCTTAACTTCAACCTGAAATGGTGGGGGCCCCCGAAGGGGTCAGTACAAGTACCGAGCGAGTAGCAGACTAAATATAAAATAACTAGCGTTTCAAGTATAAGACTCAAACATAGGGTGATACTTATGTAAATAGTCTTTTCCCCCAAGTTAAGAAATACTTAGTAGTACATATACACTTGGAAAATACCCGATCCGTAGATCACCGTTTTATTTGGGAAAATATTAATAGTCAAAATCCTTGACTAAAAACCTCAATCCACCCATATGCCTATGAGTGTATAGGACTCCTCCTTGTCCATACTTCAATATCATAATCTGTGAGTTTTGAGGATCAAATTCCTTGGGTACTCCACCAAATTTGTATTTGAGTGTTAAGGACTTTTAGTCCTAGGGTCCTTCACCAATTTATTATCGGCTAAAGGGTCAAATAGGTACATGAACTAACTTAAAGTGTTCAATTAGCCCCTTATATAGGAGGTTCTGCTCGGCCGTCGCCAATTGGGGTGGTTCCCGGTGGAAATTTTTGATGAACGTTTTGATCATATTCTTCATTAAGTCTAGTTTACCCATACCAAAGTTCAGCTAAAAATTAAACCAGGAAGGCAGTCAAATGATTTTTTGAAGATAACTGCGCAGTTAAACAGCGCAGTACATTTCGGAAAATCATTTGACTGTCTTCCCGATTTAATTTTTAGTTGGAATTTGATATGGGTAAACTAGACTTAATGAATAAGATGATCCAAAAATTTCATCAAAAAATTTCATCGGGAACCGCCCCAATTGGCGACGGCTGGACAGAAACTCCTAAATAAGGGGCTAATTGAACACTTTAAGTTAGTTCATGTACCTATTTGACCCTTTAGCCTTTATTATCTGAGTGTTAAGGACTTTAAGTCCTAGGGTCCTCCACCAATTTATAATCCGAGTGTTAAGGACTTTAAGTCCTAGGGTCCTCCACCAAAATATGAGTGTTAAGGACTTTTAAGTTCTAGGGTCCTCCACCAAAATATGAGTGTTAATGACTTTTAAGTCCTAGGGTCCTCCACCAAAATATGAGTGTAAAGGACTTTAAGTCCTAGGGTCCTCCACCAATTTATAATCCTATGATCAACCTCCTATCAACCTAGATAGGATCTATATCATATTTATTCATTCATAGCTAAATCAATACATAAAGCTTATGTATCACAATCCATGCAAAGTCGTGCGTTTATATAAATTCATAATTAACTAATACCATCCGGTATCAATTAATCCATTATCCATCGGTCAATGTTTTCGTTGACCGCCATTTCAAACCTTATACGTATCAACTTAATCATCATATAATTAAGTTAATAATGTTCATTTGTGCTCCTCTTACGCTTCAAGCAAACATGAATTTTATATAATTCCTCATAACATATTTCATGCATAAACAATTAATTCCTTTCATACAAACTTAACCATGTTGGCTAGTCACATGTTTAAATACCTTTTAAACATAATTATGAACACATATAACATTTATTTAGGTAATCTCATAATTAACCCAAAAGTTATAAGATATTAAGCCGTCCACTCACCTTAAATGAGCTTTAGCGCGTTCTACGCTTCTCGGTTGGACTCTGGCGAAACTCCGGCGAAACTCCGGTGAACTCCGGCGAACTCCGGCGAAACTCCGGCGAACTCTAGAAACACTTTATTTATGCTCCTAATATGGTTTTATCATCACAAAACTCATATCAATACAAATAACCCCTAATAAGGTTATTTACCATTCTTGGACTTAGAACTACCTTCCAACCCCTCATTCTACATTTCTAAATATGTAGAAAAAACCTAGGGGTTCCTCATATGATGTACAATCCATATGATAAATGTAAAGTAGAGGAAAAGTTATTAAAAGGTTATTACCTTAATATTCCACACTTTTCCTAACGTTTTCCTCCTTCATGCTTTCTTTATGGACTCCTATGGCTTGAGTTCGAATTGGCTATGGAGGATGAGTATCTTGCAGAGCTTCTCCTCTCAAAAATTATGTGTTGGGCGAGCTAGATGATTGGGGATGAGAGAGGGTGGCTTGTTTTGTCTCAAATGGCAAATTAATGGGGTGAGGGGTCCTCCATGGTACCTTTGATGCCAAAGCCCACTCCTCCACACATTTACTAGTCAACTCCAGCCTCCTCTGAACAATTTGAGCACACAAAAACGTGGGGTGGCCCCCACTCATGTGGGGGGTCATCCCTTTGTGTCCCGATTTGTACAATCGGCCCCGAAAGTTGTATTTTCCGGACTGTTTAAATTATATTTTATTTTATCGGGTCAAATAAAATATATTTTGTGTTTCCCATCATTATGGACTTTTGGAATGAGTATTCATTCCCCAACTTTAATTTATACGTCCCCGAAATCCGTTCCGGGCTGTTATCTGATAAATTACCGATGCCGATAATTGGGCCTCGTTTGACCGACGGGTCAACCCTATGCCCTTCCTATGGCCCAACTAAAATATCTACCACCATATACATATTATCTAGACCAAGATGAATATAATATGTGGTCCCGGGTTTATCGGGTGGTCCCCGCTCCCGATGTGGGCCCCACGTGCAATTCACTATTCACGCGAACGTAATAACAAAAATTTACAACCTCGTAAATTCACGAATCATTATTCAAGGTTTATTACATGATTTACTAAAAGTAAATATACTCTGGGACGGTGTTACACACAACATTGTGCCTCTAAAAACACAATATGCTTTCAATCATGCAATTTGTTACTTTTTATGAAGGGGGTGTAGTTTGGGTGTTTTGTGCACACTAGTGTTTGAACTAGGAGTGTGCAAATGGGCACACAAAGTGCAGACCGGGTCGAGTAATAGAGGTCCGGGGAGGGTTAGGTCCGGGTCCTAATTTTAGAAAACCCAAATGGGGTAAGGCAGGGCAGATCGTAGAAAATATAGAAATCGTACATGATAGGTCATCGGTAAATTGCCAGTGGTATTGTAGAGAGAGATGAGAATGAATGAGAGGGGGGGAGAGAAATCTGATATTAATGGTTTTCGAACCCCTTACACTTACCCCCATGGGAGTATTTATAGGGGAAATGCAAGTTGGATTCTCATGCTTACAATAACGGGCAACTTAATGACTAATACACGAGGTAAGCTATTTTAAATGTATACATGAGTAAATAGAATGTAAAACAATGTGACTGCTATCTGCTTAGAGATCTAGGACGAAGTGTGTGGACTCTTGCCCATGTCACCCTTTGTTCTTCTGTATTTTTTGGGCCAAGACGAGGCATCCTGACCGAGGGGTCCAGACAGAGGCGGTCTGTACAAATCGAAACTGCCCTTGTGGCTTGTATCCTGATTTTGTAGTTTTATAGACTGTGTTGTTGGGCCTCGTCTTGTCGAGGGGCTCATCTGAGGTGGGCATTCACTAGCTTGTAAGGTAGTTTATATATCCATGAGTGTGTGGGCCTCGGATCCGAGCTCATATACTACTCTATGAGTACCGGTATTAAATTTTCAAACAAATGGGTACCCGACAGACCTGTTTTAAAATATCATTTTATTAGTCTATTATATAATTTGTATTTAATATAATATAATATCAAATCGTAAAATTTCTTCATGCTAATGAGTCTATTAAGAAGAGATTCAAATTTTATATAAAATTCTAAACAAAGAATCTTACTTTATAATGTGTGGGATTTTCATTTTATTGTTTGAACTTAACTTACATTTTGAGATTTATTCTCATAAACTTATATGTATAGTGAATAGTCTAATTTTTATGATTTCGTGGTGCTGTTTTTTTAATTTATGAATGATGGTGTCTAATTTTCTACAATTCAAAATTTGGTGTTATTTTATGTGTGTGGTTGTGCTCTATTTAATACTCCCTCAGGTCCTAAATAAACTTCACACTTTCCATTTTGGGTAGGTCCAAAATAAACTTCACACTTCTTTTCCCTTCCTTATTTGGCAAATTATCTACATCAAAACAGTGCCAAACAGTGCCAAACAGTGTCACAACAGTGTATTCTACAGTAAAGTCAAATTTATTTCCTTAATTTGTGTGAAGTCAAAGTGTGAAGTTTATTTAGGACTATATAGATTTGTTGTTAGATGTTTTGTTAACTAATTCAAAACTTTATTTTAATTTTTTATTTTAAATTTTCTATATTTCGGTGACATTAATAATAGGTATGTAGTTAGCGTAGCGGTATCTTGTACAAAAAATAAGAATCGAGAATTCAGACTAAACCGGCCCATTTCAAATGGGACGGGTAAGGTCCGATTCCCATTTCAGGACTTGGTATTCCTGGACCAATTACCCGGACCGACCAGGACCATGCCCACCCCTAATAAGAACAAATGCATATATGTTTATTTGCTTGCACACTAATTTCTATGATCTCTTATATGTGTACACTTTTTTTGTGTACACCTTTAGCACATTTGTCTGTCTACATAGACAGAGTTGTCTGTTTTACATTAGACACACAAGTGTGCCAAATGTGTATACCAAAAACGTGTAACCAAGCATTTTTCAATTTCTATAGTATTATTGGAGCATTGTTGCTTCAATATTTGTATCCCCTTTGCGTCTAGATGATTGCTCATGTACATGCTTAGTTTTTATGTCACCCTCGCATCTTTCTCGCTTTAATTAATCACATGATTATACTTTTACATATTATGTTCATTTACAAACTCATTTGTGACTAGATTACAAAATCAAGTTCTTTAAATATCATGATCACTCAATAGCCTTCTAAGATTACTCTTTATTTCTAAAGGTAATAATGTAAAATTTGTCATAAGGCTAGACATTGTTATCCAAAACTTTGAGTAACGGGAGATAATATTACATCATGCACATTCCACACACAAAACATCCTCACTTTGAAGAGTGTGCCAATACCCACACGACTTATGTTAATATTAAAGTGTCCCGTAATTACAAAAACAGTCTTAAAACAAGTTACAAGTTACAACATTGATACAAAATTATACAAATGAAAAACAATTTCAAGAATGTTTATTCAATGTGAAACCCACAAAAGCCAACTAGTTACTTACACATATCATCATACCAATCTCGAAGCCTGGACAAAAAGCAATGCTAATATCCCGGATCTTAAAATAGTGTAAAATGGAATCCCACACTTCCCCTTCCCAAACAAACCCTTGACGTATGTCCAGTACATCAATATTACCCACAAGCTGCAAATCACTTCCCCAAAACTCCATCTCTTATTCTCTTGTTTGTCAAAATCCAGTAATCCAATGAACAGAGCTGCAATATTAACAAGTAAAATGGTTGTAGCAGGGATAAATATCGGAGAGTCATCAAAAGTGAACCCTCCCACATCGGATTCCTCCTGTAGAGTATCATCACGCGTATGTTCTTTCTTGGTGATTTCAAACACCGTATTGGAGATTCCAATGACCTTAAATATCGCGCTTAGAAACCCAAATAACCATGGACCAGAAGCATTCAACTTTGACATTCTTCGATTGTTCCACCACGCCCGTATTGATTCCCCACCCATAATGTATTCTGATAAAGTGTACAAATTGTAGCTAATGAAAATTGAAGCTGGCATTACAATGGCAGCTTCGTTTACCTTCGGTTGGAAACTGGAATTGCTTATGATGCAAAACGCAGGAAGAAGAGAATTGCATATCTCAAAAAAAGTCTCAACGGGCCACAACATCACCCATAGATATGCCAAGCACTGTCTGAATTGGAGCTTTCCAAAGAAGAACTTAAGAATTGGGCTATTGTTTCCGATTAGCACTTCAGTTAGCCCAGTGGACCATCGTTTTTGTTGGGTTGATGCTGCCGGTCCTCCTGTCGGTGCACACCCCAGAAAAGCAGGCGGGTCAGGGTCACAATAAGCGGATTTCCAACCCTTGTTGTGGATAGTTAACCCTGTTAGGACATCTTCTGTGGTAGATCCATAAATCCATCCAATCTGAAATGTCATAACATTTGAAAGTAATTTGTTAAAAGATTTTGAATGTTTATAGGATTTCAAATAGTACATGTGGTACACTTGTAATTTCTATACTCTCTCCGTTTCACAATCTTTGACACAGTTTGACTTGTCAAGAAATAAAAAAAAAATGTTACTCAGAGGTAAATTTTGGTACACTGTTTGGCACTATTTGACACTGTTTGACATTGTTTTGCACTGTTTCGGTAAAGATTTGTTTACCAAATAAGGAAATAAGGAAGTGTGTCATTGATTGTGAAACAGCCAAAAAAGGAAAGTGCGTCAAAGATTGTGAAACGGAGGGAATATTTATCATGTTTGAGTTATTAAAGCACTAAGAGTGAGACTTTTAGAACATGACTTTGAATTTTTTACATAGTGTAAATTTCATTTTAATCCTTGAATTTTGTATTACTTTCATAATAGTCATGACGGGTAAAGAGTTGGTAAACCATATGGTGATTTCAAACATTGTATGAAAAATAACTATCAAAGACCAAAATATGGAATGTAGAACTAGACTCTGTCACTACAAGTAAAAATGGAAAAAGCTCATTGTCAAAAGGACTTCCAATTCTACAAAAAAAAATCCTTATCTGATGTGATAACTTTCTTTGCATATACTTACATTTCGACCCCAAGCAGAGCCAAATTCATACGCACAATTGGCAACTTCATGAGCAGCCTCTATGGAATTGGTAAGTATTGTCATCTCTGGATATAAAGATCCTGAAATTTTTTGAATGGCTGATAAGGTTATTTCCTTTGATTTCCTCCCATTTCCCATGTTCATATGAGGAACATAAAGATTATAGAAAGAACTTTCAGAAATAAAATAAAAACAAAACCTTTCATTAGTAATGCTTTACGAGTGTATGCATCATGACAGACGTTATCTTTTTTGCAACAAAACATTTAGCTATTATTTATATATATATATATATATATATAATCAAAATCTAAGGAATTGAGAATACAACCATTAGGAAAATGAAGGAATGAATCCAGAACCCGCACGGGTAGCTCAGTTGGTCGAGTGGTGGGAGATTTGGAACAACGGATCAAGGTTCGAATCCCCGCAGCGACCGGGTGGAGGTCACAGAACCTGAAATAAGGTTGGGCCTCTGGTGCGCACGGGTGTATGGGCCTACTGTCATTCTGCTGACTGAGTCACCGTGACTAACCTCCCCACCATCCTGTCAGTTCGGGGTGGGGGGCTCCTGGGGTGGGAGATTCCACCTTTTGGAACAAAGGAATGAATCCAGACTTGACAGTCTGACAAATAAATGATCGTTCGAATAGGTAGGGTCGTTTTTTAGGGATTCAATAGGTTGTCCAGAACACCCCCAAATTTATGGGGCCCTGATTTTTTAATTTTTTAGTATTATATAATAATATTATATATTAATACTAATCAGTAAAATACGGTTGGTAAGGAAGAAAAATATAGATTCATCATTTTTCGTTGGTCCTTTTACTCTTTAGAATGTTTTTACTTACACTGGAATTGACTGGTCTGATCTGATCTTATCTGGTATGGTATGGTCTGGTTTGAATTGGTCTGGTCTAGTCTGATTTGATCTGGTCTGGCAGTGAAAACAGTCCAAGTAAAAATATCCTAGTTCTCTTTAAATGAGTATTCAATTGATTTTAGTATAAGTATTTGGATTGAGTTTTTTCAAAAAAATATATATATATGTGGGGCCTGAATTTTTAAGAACCGAAGCCTCCAAATTTATTAGACGGCCATGCTAATAGGCTATTGCGCAGCACGATTCGCACACCGCATAAGAATAGCAGTAATTGTGCTAGTAAAATCGAGCAACATATAATTGATATCTTCCACCAAAAAACAAATATGAGAATAACCACCATCCGATTGAATGGCCGAGGTAACAATCTGATTCGATATCAATTTTATCTCAATGTCGCTCTATAGCCAGCTTAAAGCCTCTCGAAGCCCTAGCGCTCCAGCCACATTTGGTGGACCCCCCATTGTAAGGCATCACCGGCCACATACATTGCTGAAGCGTCTCGGGCCCTCCGATCAAAACCTAGACAACCATTCTCTCCCATTGTAAGACTTGGGGTTCAATTCCGTCTTAAAAAGGTCAACCGAAGAGTAACCAAAGTTTTATAAAGGTTTTATTGTTTTATAGAATTTCGATGTGAGATAAATATTTAACACCTACCGGTAATATTAGGTGCTTCAACAACACATGATCAATTTGCACCTCTGCTCCTTAGTTTTGGATGAAAACAAAAGTTCAACCCACTCCAAAAACTCGAGGTTCTATCGGTTCTCACCAGCTCACCCTTTCTTTTTATGTACCCCACGGCAAATGGAAATTTTGCCAAGTTCACATAAAAAAAAGATATTTTGTCTACATGGAACAATTTATCTACAAACGTATAAGGTTACATGTATGAGAATGATGCTATCTTTGTCCCATTGAACATTATTAGGTTTGAATTAGGTGCAAATAAGCAAAATAATGATTGTGTGGTGGATGTTCGTTCAAAGGAAAATAACAAAGTAATATCACAGTTCACAAATTATATAGCACTTTAAATAGAAAACGGAAAGTTTTACACACAAATAAAAATGATAAGTTATCATGAATGGATTAGATTCTTTTTCTCGCTTAAATTTTACACACGAACTTGGCCGATAAAATAATAAGTTTAGTATGAATGTGCAGAGAAACATGAAGAAAGAAAGTGCATTAATTTAGACTTGCAATTAACGCACATAGTGGTCGGGAAGAAGTCGCATACGTACCACTACTGGTGCTACAATTAGGTGGCGAGCCGTACATCACTTTTCTTCTGTGAAAGCATCCGGTTCCCATATACAGTGATCCCTGTATCGCAGCAATTCCTCGTACCATACACTACATATTAAATCATATTTTCAACTTAACAATTTATGGAGTATTTGTCCCAATTTAAATCATAGGCTACATATTAAATCATACTTCCTCCGTTCCATAAAAGTTGCAACATTGGAATTTCTGCACTATTCACACACCTTACTTTGACTACAATTTTCTAATAATATATATAATAAAAATATTATGTATAAAATATTAATAAATTTGTATTAATGTAAATTTCCAATATATAAACTTTTTTTATGTTTACTAATACGCAAATAAATATAATTACAGTCAAAGTTGTGCGCTAGCAAACGTGAAAGTCAAACTGTTGAAACTTTTATGGAACGGATGATAGTATTAAAGACATATGAGTAACATTTTTTATAGAGAAAAAGGGCAAATAAGCTCACGTACTAACCAAAAAAGGTCAAATAAGCCCTTATAAAGGTGGTTATGTTCGGCCGTTGTCATTTAGGGTTGTTCCCGGTGGAAATTTTTGATGCAATTTTTTGAGCATATTATTCATTAAGTCTAGTTTACTCATACCAAATTTTAGCTAAAACTTCAATCGGAAAAACATTCAAATGTATTCTTGAAGATAACTGCGCAGTTAAAAGCGCAGTTATCTTAAAGAATTTATTTGAATGTCTTCCCAATTGAATTGTTAGCTGAAATTTGATATGAGAAAATTAGACTTACTGAATAAGATTCTCCAAAAATTTAATCAAAACATTCCACCGGGAACTACCCCAAATTGTGTTTTCCGGACAGAGCCTCCTATTTAAGGGCTTATTTGACCTTTTTGGTTAGTACGTGGGCTTATTTGCCCCTTTTCCCTTTTTTATATAATAAATTGCACTAAATATATATAATAATCAAAAAACTAAAGTAGTTCATGAATATTTGGCTGTCTACAATTGTTGAACAACATCATTGATGGAGTATATGGCCCAGGAACCTTCGGCCCACATACTTCCACTACTACAATTAGACCCGACAGATCCAAGTGGCCCCAAACACAGCAAGCGAGACTCCGGACAGCGAACAAGGCCCAGGAGACGTACGTCTCCTGGGGACGTATGTCCTTCGTCACGTAAAGGCCCTACAAGACGTACGTCCTCCACACATGAAGGAATCTGGGGACGTACGACCTCCACTTCCCATCACATGAAGGCTTCAGGGGACGTACGTCCTCCTGTGCATTAAGGTCCTCCGGAGTACGTGCGTCCTCCAACACATGGAAGCCCCAAGAGGACGTTCATCCTCCAGCACATGGAAGCCCCAAGAGGACGTTCGTCCTCCAGCACATGAAACCCCCAGGGGACGTACGTCTTCCAGCACGTGGAAGGCCCCAGGGACGTACGTCCTCTAGCACATTAAAGTCCTCCGAGGTACATACGGCCCCCAACACATGGCGGTATCCAGCTACGTACGTCCCTAGCACGGCATCAAGGCTCAAATGACCCCTGGGTACGTACGGCCTTCAGCACTCTCCTCGACAGGATCTCCTCTCAACGTGGTCTGAATCGTCGTATTAAATGCGGTGTCACGTCCAACCACCGCATTAACTGCGGTCACATGCTAGGCCGGTGCCACCCCGGCTGAATCGACTCGCCACCATTTGGTTACATGACACGTGTACTTGCATTATTTACACCGCATTTATGGCAGCTATAAATAGCTAGCCTCTTCTTCATTGTAAAGGATCCCATATCACTACTTGAGTGCATTTAATACATACTCTCTTTTACTTGTTCTAACATCTCTCTTGATATTACTATCCTTCGGATAAGATACCCGCAGGTACACTATCCATCAATCGTTAACTACATTTAGGAAAAATGATCAAATAAGCTTTTCTATTATTTCTAATCCATCACCTAAGCTCATGTACTAAAAAAAGTATCATATAAGTATGTCTATTTTTAAAATACAATCATTCAAGCCCTTTGACATACTATGGCAGGTTATGAATATTGATAAATATTACAAAAAATCATATAAATTTGAATAAATAATATAATAATAATATAATAATAATATAATAATAATATAAAAATAGTATAAATATAAAAATAGATAAGAAAAAAATTAAAGTTAAAAAATAAAAAAATTATAAAACTAAAATAATAATGTTAAAATAAAAAAAACTATAAAACCTTTTATATTGATGTTGAATATACAAATATCTTTAAAAATTAAAAAATATTGATTTTGATATTCTAAAAATTTTCAATTTTTTTTATATATTTCTTCAAATTTTAACAATTTTTTAGAATATTTAAGTATTAAAACTGCACTATTACATGTCAAAAGATGGTTAAATGGTCAAATTGATCCATTTTGTAAAGTAGGCTGACTTATATGATATTGTTCTTTACAGGGGCTTAAGTGACGGTTTGGAAATAGTACAAGGACTTATTTGAACGTTTTTCCGTATATTTATATTTTTTTTCTTTAAATTATTAATGCAATGTATTTTGAATGTATTGTTTTCAGAATTCACCAAATTCAGTCTATTCATCAAGTACTTTATTACTTCATCTGTCCCATAAAATAGTTCCTGCATTTACTTGGATCAAAGTTTAAGAAAGCGAGAATAAAGTGAAAATGTCTGGTTGTGGTTGATTAAGAAAAGGTAAATGAATGTGAGCCACACAAAACTTTTCAAACAGGGAAATGTGAACTATTTTTTGGGAAGGTTCAAAAAGGAAATCGAGAACTATTTTGCGGAACAGATGGAGTAATTTCAGCAAATTCAATCAATACTAGTGTTACCAATATAGTTCTATGTAGAAATATGTTAAGTGCAAGTAGTATTTACGATATAAATTGCTCTAAATAGGATCAAAAACGTTTTGAAATTCCAAAATATGAGTATCATGTTTTTTATTCACCGAAAATGAGTAATCTGCCAAATTTAGAAAAAATGACATGTTTTAAAGCCTAGTAATGCCAAACTTGGCAGAAATTTACACCTATTGAAGAAATAAAAAACATGATAGTCCTACTTTTAAATTTCAAAACTTTTTTACTCTTATTTAGGAAATTTCCTCCATTTACAATCATTTAAACATTTTAAAGCTAAAAAGGGAACGTGGTTGTCAGGATGTTTCTAATTCAACAAGATTTTGTCCCGGACCACATGAGATCATATTGAAACAATAGAAATCGTTCAGACCAAAACATACAAAAATATATGCACCAAATGGATAATATTATTGGACTATAATACTCCTTCCGTCCCTTAAAACTTTGTCAAGTTTGACCGGAGATTAATAAAGTAAAGCTTATGTGGTTGAGGTTTGTGCGGAGGAGAAAGAATTAATTGGAACCATAATTTTTTTAAAAAGTGAAAGTGACAAAGTTAATAGGATATTCAAAAAAGGAAAGTTAGCAAAATTTTATGGGACGGAGGGAGTAAGGTTATTTTTACTTGGACCGTAATTCGTCCCAGACCAAAACAGACCAAAACGGACCAGACCAGACCATACCATATCATATTTTATTATTATTATTATTGTTGTTCTTATTATTATTATTATTATTATTATTATTATTATTATTATCATTATTATTATTATTATTGTTGTTGTTGTTGTTGTTGTTATTATTGTTGTTATTGTTATTATTATTGTTATTATTATTATCAGTACTGTTAGTACTATTACTATTATTACTATTATTATTACTATTATTACTATTACTATTATTACTATTATTACTATTATTATTAGTAGTCGTAGTAGTAGTAGTTGTAGTATTGTTATTGTTGTTATTATTAATACTTGTACTATTTTATTATTGTTCTGTATTTGTATGATCTGCTTCGGTCTGAGATTGAAATCAATCCAATTAAAACGATAGCAATTTTCGATAATTTGGAAGGAATATTATTATTTTTAATTATAAATGAATAAAATATAATTATTTATGGATTGTAATATATATAAAAAATAAAATCTTTATGCAAAAAATATAAAAAATAAAATTTCAGACCAGACCAGATCAGACCAAAACAGACCAGATCAAACTAAAACAGACCAGACCAGACCAAAACAAACCAGAACAGATCAACAAATTACGGTCCAAATAAAAACATCCTAATTAATATGTACCGGAAAAAATAGGTGGAAGCCCACATCCTCTTCCTACATTCCGTATTTCCACCCCTCTTCCGGAGAACCTAAAGTCTGCTACATTTGTACTTCGAGGTGCATAGTGTGTAGTTGTGTACCTTTGTTCTACAACCATTCTTGCCGCAGACAAATGTATACCCCATCTCTGTTTAAAAGTCTCTTCATTTTACACGCAATTAAGAAAATGACATTGTTTTGAGACTGTTTGATATTGTTTGAGGTTGTTTTATAATGTTTTATTTACCAAATAAGAAAAGAAAACTTTTTTAGGGAAGATCCAAAAAGAAAAGTGTAATGTTAATTTAGAGATGAAGTACACTTTTCATATACTTATTCGTTTACATACTTTTCGAAAATGAGATGTTTATTTTAGTTATGTACACAGGTGAAGTAGAAGTGTACATAACAGTTTGCCCTTATTGCTCTTTCATAACAGTGATGTTTATTCTAGACTTCTAGTTGTATGGTTGATAGTGTTAATTGGTTACAGAGAGTTGTTGTTGTCAGTATTGCTCTTTGAGTTTGTTGTAATGATCTGAATCTTGATGATATTAATATAAACAGTTTTTCCTTTCAAAAAACAGTTTACGTACCCTTATGTTTATATGTAGTTTTTTATTTGTTGTATACATTCTCTATTCCATAAAAAAAACAAAGTTAACTTTTAGAAGATGCGTGATTACTGTGAAAAGTGAATTTAAGTATTTAATATTGAATTGATAAAATAATAGGAGTATTACATAATAAGATAAAGAATAAATTAGAATTACATGTACACAATTGTATTATGGGAGAGGGTCTTACTCTCATAGTGATTTTGAATTGGTTTCCGTAGGGGTCATCCTTCAATGAACTGTAGAAGCTCTGCGGGAATTGGACAAAGCCGACATCTTTTTCATCCTCTGCTCCGAGCAGAAAGCACATGGCATGGAGTACCACTTTTGGGTCATTTACAAAGCAGTCACAGTCCACGTTCAACATAAATGGTGCATTTGTCATCACCCCTGATGCTCTAGTCTGTTACGTAGTACATTCCGTAAAAAAAAATGTTATGATATTCTTGATTTACAAAATTTTCTATTTTAATTGTTCTAAAATGGTTTTCCGCTTTCTATTTTAGGTATGTAAATAAGAATAAAGTGACAAATTTACCCTTCCTTTTACTTTTTTTTCATTAACTTAAAGACATCTACTTTTACCAAGATGGGCAAAAGTATAAAATGAAAACATCATTTATTATCATTCTTTAATGCTTGGACCGATCAAAATTTGCAATTCAATTCGGGACGGAGGGAGTATTAAATTATTGTTGATCAAATTGAAAACAAAAAAAGTTTTTCTTTGGACTTATTTTTGTCGTTGACCAGATCAACTAAATTAGACTTTGATAGATACTAGACATCACAGATCATACCATATCAGTTCAAACGAGACAAGACCAGACCAGATACAAAAATCAGGTTTTTGGACGTGTGATGATAACTGTTTTCAAACGAGACAAGATCAGACCAGCAAAAATATTTAAAACAAACACATCTATGTTGATATATATTGATTTAACAAAAAAATACTCCGTACTACTCTCTCCGTCCTAAAATGATAGTCCTGTATTTTCATTTTGGGATGTCCCAAAATGATGGTCTTGTTTCCCTTTTTGGAAAGAAAGATGTGGTCCATATTATTTCAATTTATTATACTCAAATCTCAACCACAACTTTTACATTTTCAACCACTTTATTAAATCTTGTGTCTAAAAAAACTGAAACTATCAAATTGGGACGGAGGGAGTATTACCAGAACATTCATGGCTCCTGCTTTGTGATGATGATGAATTTTTGGACGCTTTTCTCTAGAGATGTAGATTAGATGAGGAACCGCATCCCCTTCGGGAATAGTCCCCTTGTTTTCCCAAATCACCTGGAATTTACTAACAAATCGTTGTCCTTTATGACCACATGTTGTGGTTACGAATCGAGTCAAACTTTGGCACTTTTAAACAATACTCCGTATTTTAAAAGATGTGAAGTAAAGAGCTACTCTCTCTATCCCGGAATTATCTTCATTCTTTCCTTTTCGTTCCGTCCTAAATTTATCTCCTTTTTCCTTTTTTGGCAAATAATTTGTTGTTCACAACCATTCTTACACATTTCTCTTTCCTCTGCACAACTCTCTACCACACATTTCCCACTATCTTAAAACTCGTGTCAAATCAAATAAGGAGATAATTCCGAGACGGAGGTAGTACTTATTCTTTAGATCGCTTATCAAGTGATCTCTTAATAATCACAAATTCATATTCTAAGTAAACAGGTTCTAAATGTTTTACGTTTACATCTTCTTTTGCATATCTTTTCACCATCTCTTCTACCTTTTCTATATAATTCAATATCCCTACTATTTTTCATTATATACTGTGTCAAATCCTGTTATAGAGAACAATACTCCCCTTTCAATATAATACTCTCACGTTCCATTAACTATCTTACTTTTTTTTTGGGATACCTCAAAATAAATGTCACGTTTCATTTTTAGAAATAAATTCTCCCTCCGTCCCGAAAAGATTTTCAAATTGGATTTTTTTGGTCAAAGACAATCAACTTTGACTAATGATATTTTTTAATACGAAATTATTTATAGTAAAAAATTACACCAAAATGTTCACCATTCAAAATATCTTCACAAACGTATAAAATTTATAAATTCTAGACAAATATAATACCAGTAATTAAAATCATTATCCAAAGTTCAACATGCATCATTGGAATGAAAAAGGAATAACTAAAACGCAATTAAGCTTGCTGAAGCAATTTAAACTTTACCTTTACGATGGAAGAGTGGTCTCTTCGTTTAATCTTTGAAAAAACGGAAAATTGAGCGGTAAGGCCAAATGCCATAGATTCTTTACTCGCATCTTCTATCTTCGCGCACAGCTTTAAATATTCATCCTAAAATACTCCAAAAGAAACATGTTTTCCTTAGTAATATTACCTTCGTTTCAAAATCAAACTCACATTTTGATTTCACAAATATTAAGAAAATAAATTTATTGAGAGAAAATTTTACTATAGAGTAGACTGTTTTGATATTGTTTGACATTGTTTTACATTGTTTTGTCCTATTTTGTACTATATTGATATAAATTTGTTTACAAAAAGGAAGTGTGACATTGCTTTGAAAACATCCAAAAAAAGAAAGTGTGACCTTTATTTTGAAACGGAGGGAGTATATATGTAGTATTTAAATATTAGAAATACTAAGGGCTTGTTTACTAACAGAGATATTTTCCTGTTTTCTACTTCGGTTTTTCGTTCTCCAATTTTTTGTTTTTATTTTTCAGTTTTGTATCTCCAGTTTTCTGTTTCTATTTCTAGTTTTCCATTTTCAAATCTGAAAACATGTTCATCAATTTTTTCACCCAGTTTCGTGATCATCCAGAAGACTGACACGTTTACTTCACGAGTTACTAAATGATGCTTATTAAGACTCGCGTTAATAAGCGACACATAAAATAAGGAATGTTATAAGATCATATTTTATTTCAAAAGGTTTTAAACACCGTATAACATTAAAATGTCCAAAACAACCCTATACATATATAGACACACAAATATTCATGAACACAAATATATACTCCCTCCGTCCCAATTTGATTTGCAAAATTTCCTTTTTTGGTTGTCCCAAAATGATTTTCCACTTTCTATTTTAGGTATGTGAATAAGAATAAATTGACAAATTTACCCTTACTTTTACTTTTTCCCCATTAACTTAAAGACATCTACTTTTAGAAAGATGGGCAAAAGTGTAATAAGCAAGCATCATTTATTGTCATTCCTTATTACTTGTGCCGGTCAAAGTTTGCAATTCAATTCGAGACGGAGGGAGTAATATAATATGTGGGGTGGGTGGGGGTGGGGTAAGGGGTATGGTCGGGGGTGGGGTGGTAAGGTCTAGGGGTACAGGGTTGGTTGGAGTAGTGGGTGGGTTAGTGTGGTGGTTAGGGGTAAGGGTGGGGGTAGTGAGTAGGGTTGGGGTTGGGGTAAGGAAGGGGTAGGGTAGGGAGTTGGGATAGGATGACGGTAGGTTAGGGCTGGGATTAGGGTGGGCCCAAGGTAGGGGAAGGGGGTGGATGGGGGGTAGGATGGTGGTGGGGCTAGGATGGCAGTAGGGTGGGGGTAGGATGGCGGTAGGGTGGGGCCGAGGTAGGGGGCATGTGGGAAGGGGTAAGGGGTAATATACGAGGTGGGGGTAGGGTAGGGTGGGTCGGGTGGGGTTGAGGTGGTAGGGGGTGGCGGTAGGGTAGGGTGGATCGAGGTGTAACCGAGGTAGGGGTTGGGGGTAGGTGGTGGGGGTTGGGTGGGTAGGGTAGGGGTAAGGGGTAAGGTACGAGGATGGGTGTACTAGAATGGAATTGACATCGGAGCGGGATCAGAACCACCAATAGGTGTAAGTATGCAAAGTTATTTCACCAAATCATTAAGAAAAAGAGAGACATGTCTCATTTTTTTCGTTTTGGAAAACGGTTTGGTAAACACGTTTTCGTGTTTTCCTTTCTCCAGTTTTCCAGCAATTTTCTTTGGTAAACACGTTTTCTGTTTTCTGTTTTCTAGTTTTCTGAAAAACTGGAAAATATCTATGACAGTAAACAGGCTCTAATATTGAATTCCTAAATTATTACTTCATACTTTTAATAAGAACAATGAATGACTCTTATTCTAGTATCAAGACTAACAATACCCCTTTGTACATTTAATAAGAAACAATTTCTAAGATAAGAGTAAAATGCTTTGGAATTCTTGGACAGGGTTGTCATATTTTTGTTCTCTAAATATGAGTAATTAATATCAAGTTTGGAAAATACGTACTATAATGTTTAAAGTTTGATATTACCAAAATATGATAGTCTTTATTTCCATTTCGAAAAAGATAGTGATTAAATAAAAATAGTGAGCCCACACCATAGTTGTGACTTGTGAGTGAGCATAAAATATTTTGAGTAATTTTTTTAAAAATTGGTCATGGCCTTCACTAAGCTAATCGAGTTCAAATATTGTTCCACTCGATTGCATTGGAATTTGACTAATAATTGAAAAAGTTGATCAATTTATAAAAAATCATTCTGTATCCATGGTGATAGAGAGTAAACCAACGCCACATATAAATAAGGATAACGATTTATATATTATCATTGCATATTATAACATACTCCATATTATATAGAGCAATACTATAATACATACGTAGTATGTATTTACCTTGATTTTGTTCCATTCGTGTTGGAACTCCAAGGAGCGATCATGTGGGCATGTAGGGTTGGCGTGAAAATATCGAAACGGAGCTCTAACGGCAACGTCAAACTTCTTACAAAAGGGAACCCAAATCTGAGCAAACTTGGATGCTTCCACCAGAGAAAAGAAGGTCAACGGAGATGCACCATCGTCCGACACATAACACGCCAGCTTGTTCGCCGGATAGTCCACCGCCAATAATGACAGCACCGTGTTCACCGTTATGATCGGCGGTTCCAGCTCTGGATCAGCCGTCGTGACGAACATGTCCACCGCCGGAAACTCCGCTACCGCCCTATCTTCCAGCCTTTTATAAAACCATCAATTACTCAAATTGATTTGCAAAGTAAACCTTCTTTGTAACTAATGATAAAGTCAAATCTTCTCTAATAATAATTAATAGAAACTTTTAAAATTAAAATTTAAATATTCAATAACTATATTAAAATATCTTCGAAATTGCAAATTTCAAATAAGAATACAATTAAAACTCCACATCCTAATTAAATTAAGAAAATGAAATTAATTGACAAATGAACAATTTAGAAATCAATCTACGACGAAGGTTGTATCTTTTTGGGTAAATGAAGTCTTGATGAATCAATTAAAGTCTTGTTCACCTCAAATTTAAAATACGATAGTAGATTGTACTCCCTCTATCCCTAAATGTCCCTAAATGTTTGTCATACTTTAACTTCACAAGTTTTAAGGAGATGAATTTGACTTTACACTGTAGCGATAATGTTTCACACTGTAGCGACACTGTTTGGTACTGTTTGACACTGTTTTGCACTGTTTGACACTGTTTGGTATAGATTTGTTTATCAAATAAGGAAGTTGAAAAAGTATGACAAACATTTTGGTACATCCGTTTCGGGAAAGTGTGACAAACATTTAGGGACGGAGGGAGTATGTCTTAATTATTAGTAAAAATATCAATGTTAAATTTATTCAAAAAAATTATTTGTAATGTCGGAGCATCCTTTTATTAGACCCTTGCCTTGCGGATATGTCTTTGGTGCACCAGATTATCTTTAAACTTCCAAAAAAATACTTTCACTTTCCTTTTTTAGATAATTTGTGTGGCTCATATTCATTTTACATTTTTCTTATAGAACTATAACCATACATTTACATTTTGTTCTACTTTCATAATAAGCGTGTCAATTCAAACCGGAAAGTATTTTTTGGTAGGGAGGGAGTCTATTACAAATGGTTAGATATACTCTCTCAATGTGGCATTATTGACTCCCCCAAAACTCAAACATCACTAACGTAAAATGTATTAGGAATTCAAACTAGAACGAAGTTAATACCTACCGCTTCAGTCCCAAATTAATTTACAAAATTGACTTTTCTTGATCAAACAGTTTCATTTTATCCACTTAATTAAGATTTCTATTTTAATTACTTCCTCCGTCCCGTAAAATAGTTCCCGGTTTTCTTTTTGGACCGTCCCAAAAAATAGTTCACATTTCCATTTTTGGAAAGTTTTGTGTGGCTCTTATTCATTTACCTTTTTCTTGCTCAACCACAGACATACCATTTGACTTTCTTAAACTCCGATCCAAATCTTAATGGAAACTATTTTATGAGACAGAAGGAGTATAATCTAATTTGGAGTTGGTAACTTTGAAGAAATTTTTAATATATTTTCTTAATATGTAAATAGTAATTATTAAAAATCGGATTAATTATCAACATGAAATATTGAACTTTAACATTGAAATAAAAAAATGTTGACTTTACGAATTAATTTGGGACATAAATTAACTAAAGATGCACATACCTTTTTAAGAGGCGTTCCGGGTAAGTTTTGGTTTCAACATGATTCCACTTGATGTTGATGGTGAGAATCCAATTGAAAGCGAACCAAGACTCACAAACGAGAGCAAGAAACCATGGGAGGGAGTAGTCATGGCTATTGAGAGAAAGTAATCTGTAGCTAATGAGTGATAAGAGAAGGCATAGAATGATGACTTCTACTGTTCTTGAGATTTTACTGTTTACAAATTTTACTTCGTAAAGGGGAAACGATGGAGGCGACTTGGGTGCCATGTTATGGCCGCGTTGGAAGCTAGAAATTTCACTACTGAATGAGGAAGCTAAGATATTGGCTCAATTCAGTGCTCTGGTTCGATATTATTTAAACTGCTTCCAAAATAGAGTAAGTTAAATGAATTGAAGTCACTGATGACGTATGCATTTTAACTTCAGTCCCTATATTCTAGATTTGTATCTACATCCTCCCCAATTAAGGAAGACAGTCAATTAATTAATACGGACCATTTTTTTCGGTGTCACTTTTGTAATTTAAACGAAAAATCACGATTTCTACTAAATGAGCAATAATGTACTTCTAGTGAGCATTTGACCTATTTGGTTGAGTATTATGAGGTTAACAATGAGTATCACGATCTCTGCTTCATATGTCTTATTCTTTTTTTTCTTTTATAAAAACTTATTAAATTACATCTATAATCCACTTCTATTAATTTCAATATGCGAATCTAATGTAATATACTTTTGAAATATGCTTTTCAAAAAACATACTTTTGAAATATGCATTGATATGACATTTTAAAAATGAACATTACATCAATACCAAATGAGCATACATAACTTACAAAGTGAACATTGATATGAAAATCGTAATGTTTATTAGTTGAACATCATAACATTTTAATTGAGCATCAAACTTCCGCTATTGAGATGAAAATCACGGTTTCTGATGAATGAGCATTAATAAACCATTAAAGAGCATCCGACATATTCTATTGAGTATTAGGAGTCTATATTGACAATCGTGATCTCTGTTTCATAACTTCTAATTCACTTTCTTTTTGTTTTTTTTCTTTTATAAAAATTTATTAAATTATATCTATAATGAAGTCTTACAAATTTCAATATGTGAATTAATGTAATGTATATGACATTTTAAAATGTTCATGCAGTCAGTACCGAATGAGTATAAACAATTTACAAAATGAGCATCGAAAAATTCAATAGGTCAAATCTGTAATGTGCTCAAATATTCATTAATGTTACATCAAAGCACATTTAGTTTAAATGGTATACACATTGTCGTACAACATAAAACTCATTTTTATAGCCTGCATGAGTACTCATTTTAAGACATTATATCAATACACATTCCATGTAAACATAATACTCATTTGAGTATAAGATAAAACTCATTTGAAAGTATATTATTTGCAAATAGCTTTAATATGATAAATTCTTTTACTCAATTATGAGTATATTTTATAACAAGAAATATTAAGAAATTTTATTTATAATAAGTAGTTTTTATACAAATGCATCAAACAATGAAATAATTCATCAAGATAAGAATGAACATTCACTTTGAAATTTTTTCAAACATTTGATGGACATTCAATATTTAGGAATTTTTTTTGAAAATCTGGAGTATTACAAATGAAAGAGGGGTAGATATTTTAATCAAATTATCATCCCATTTATAAGTTTAAAAAGAAGGAAATTCACTAGAAGTAAATAGTGTTGTATGTGTGGATGTTTTAGTTCAGAAGCTAGAACACATTGAGATGTGATATATCCTTCTATCTTGATTTGTATTAAGGTGTAAAAGTGCAGACGTGTTTTTTGAGCAAAAATAAAAAGAAGAAAAGGAGAAGAAATAAAACTGAATGAAAGAGAGCTGCGAAAGGAGAAGCAGAAGTAACGAATGAAGCAACGGGAGTAGTAGACTGTATAACTTTCGCCATCACAGTTGTATTGTATTACAAAAATACCGGGTACACACATACACCCGGGTGTACGGTATATATTACGTTTTAACTTGTCTTACTGTGTCAATAAGTTTTTCTAGCCGATAACCGAATTGGTGAAAAGTAGACTGTTTTACGGTAGTAAAACCATTTGAAAAATTGACATATACTACTAGTTATGATTTTGAACAAAAATATGATTAATCAATGTTCTACGAGTGACTGAGACTATTCACTATAGTGTATTTTAGAATGACAGGTCATCGTAGATGACGAGTCACTGTGAACTAGTCACTAAATATGTCACTTTGGAAATTTATAACATAAGTCAAATTTTTGTCGGAAAAAGAGGCAAATAAGCCCACATACTAACAAAAAAAGGTCAAATAAGCCCTTATATAGGAGGTTCTGCCCCATCGCCGCCATTTGGGGCAGTTCCTTGTGGAATTGTTTGATGACATTTTTTGAGAATCTTATTCATTAAGTCTAGTTTACTCATACCAAATTTCAGCTAACAATTCAATTGAGAAGGCATTCAAATAAATTCTTGAATATAACTGCGCTTTTAACTGCAAGAATTCATTTGAACGTCTTCCCGATTGAAGTTTTAGCTGGAATTTGGTATGAGTAAACTAGATTTAATGATTAATATGCTCAAAAAATTGCATCCAAAATTTGCACTGGGAACCGCCCCAAATGACGACGTCCGGACATAGCCTCCTATATAAGGGCTTATTTGACCTTTTTTGGTTAGTATGTGGGCTTATTTGCCCCTTTCCTATTTTTGTCTTTGGAATTTAATTTAGTATTATTCATGGAAAAAGACCAAATCGTTTTACTAAAAAGAGTTACATAGCATTACTTTTTCAAATAAATGCATCATATTGAATTTTACATTATTCACATGTTAAATTTTGACTACGTTTTTTTATAAATGTATTAGTAAGTTTTTTTTTTAAAATATTGTCAAATACTCAAATTTGAATCGTTGCAAAGTTTCAAAATCCTTTTGTTTTAAGTTTTTACTAGTCGAGAATAATACTCCATGTATAGTGCCTCCGTCGCAAAAATCTTTCTCATCTTTAAAACTTTGACCAACTATATATTTTTTTATTGAAAAATATTTATTATACAAAATAGTATGAAAATGTTTTTTTGTTAAAATTACTTGTATAAAAGTTTAAAATTTATAAATTCAATAATATTATACTAATAAAAATCATGACCAAGTTTTCTGAGATAACAAAGTTTTTTGGGAGGGAGGTGGTATTAGTGGTCGTAGTTGTGCATTGTCAAACATGAAAAATGAATTGTTGCATTTATTTAAGAATAGAGGAAGTACTACACTGTTAGATTGATCTACTTTTTTTACTCATAAGTTTGATCTAAATGCTACTCCTTGTGCCCCTTAAACCTTTGACATCTTTGATTTTTTTAATCAATCATGTTCAACTTTGACCAATTATATATTTTTATAGAAAACTATTTATAGTACAAAAAGGATATGAAAATATTCTTTGTTAAAAATATTTTCGTAGAAGAATAAAATTTATTACTTCTATAATTTTATATTAATTAAAATCATCCTTCAAACATTACCACTGTTGACATGTAGGCAAGAAAAATGATTAAAAGCAAGAGGAAGGAGCTTGGGAGAATAAGGAAAGAGCATGAGAGCATAATGAAGGAGCATGCAGACAAGAGGAAGCTTCATGAGAGACAAAGAAATGAGAAAAATCCGATTTGATATCACACCCGGTCGGGTATATCCAATACCCGATAAGGTATGATTTGATGCGGAGATCATACGAGACAAACCAAGCAAGAAAATGTGAGAAAATTAGATTTGGTCTATATCCAGTCAGGTATATTGACATACATGGTCGGGTGTGATTAGATTTGAACACTTTCATAGCTACTACTAAGGACACCCGGTGGGGTATCCTACGTATATACCCGGTTGGGTATCTGACCGAACTAGCTTAAAAATACCCCTCTTTCCAATTTTACATACAAATAAATCCCCTCATTCAGAAAGACTTTATTCTTGTAGTTTAGATAGTCACTAGATTACCGATGCATGTGTCTCGTGGTTAATAATTTAAGGGGGAGTAATTATATTGATTAAACTGAAAATCGTTTGTCTTGAGATTACCAACCTTAATTGATTTGATCAGATGACAAATGGATGAATTAGATAGAATATGTGGACTTGAGATTCTTGTTGTGACAATCGAGCATACTCACCTCGTGTTACAAGTTATTGTTCTTAAAAGATTTCATTAAATTGATCGAATGGTACTATTTAGATCAACATATCAAGCTTATTCTATATTGAATAACAGTAACGGTATCTAATGAACGAGTCTCGTTATTAATAACTACTCTTGATGAATTGGATGATGTAATCTCCACAATTAATTATTCAAGAGGGAAGAGGTACGTGGTAACCCTAATCAACAAACACTTCACTAAGTGGAAAATAGCAAAACTAGAGGTGATTACCTTTGATATTTAAATACATTCATCTTTGTGTTTTTTTTTCTCTCTCAATTACCACAATATCCAAACCCTTTTTCCCTTTACTCTGATTTCTTACGCTTACACATGCGCAAAATGCACATTTCCGTGTGGATACAAACTCTACTACGCTATACTACGGTTTTAGCCTCGAGTATTGAATTTATTTTGAAGCACACAACGACTTTAGTGTCGTCAACAATGTGTGTTAGCTTATAGGCTCTTCGAAGCCCAGGACCCCAATGTTGCAAATCCTTTCCATAAATACTATTTTTGAAAATAATGCTACTATTCCCCGCCACTCTCCAACTATGCAATACCACTCCTTATGGCGCTCTTCTTGCAACCAATTATTCTCAAACTTGAAGGAGCGCCTTTTGTTAGTTTGTGCTTCAGCCTCAAATCGTATAGTGCCATACAAGTTCAATTAATCCTTGTTGACAAGGATTCGATTTAGTTTCTCCTAAACATAAGTCTCTGTCTCTCTTCCTTTCTCCCGAGTCCACTGATGCCCTTCAAAATGGAAGTTCCACGGCCTACAGCTCTTGCCTGCTTCACGAAAACCGTGAAGCATCCAACATGGTTAAGATACCTTCCCATGTTTCTCATTAGCTACCATGATGTAGTTAAAATCAACCACAATCAACTAGGGCACCCCATGGTGCTCCTAGCGATCGTAATAAATCCCACAACTCCTTGCGCCTACCCTATTTCAGAAAACCATAAAACCTAGCGAATCTCCACTCTAGTGCTCCACCTTGTAGTTGTAATACATAGTCCATAAAATATGGGGAACTAGCTTCTACGTGTACCTCTTTTTTTTTCAAAGAAGACTTTTTTGAGGTGGGCAAGAAATTCAGGAATGTTCA